TAACACAATGTTCAGATATATAAAATATAATAAATCTGTTAAATTTAAATCAAAAGCACATATCGTGTATGACTTTAACATCCTGTGCGTTAATGTAATTAATTAAGGTAGGAGGAAACGTTTTGATAGGAGTTAATTTGAAAAACATGCTTCGTAAAAAACTATACACACGTACATTTATTACGGAAATAAATTTAAAGTATATCAAAAGTTTAAAAAAATCATATATGTTCAACTACAAAAAGTCATTTTTAGTTGAACAGTCAAAATTTAAATGCGTTTATTATGTGCTAAATCCAAATGCTCTAAGAACAATCGTAGTAAAAATAAAAGTCAATAAGATAGTTTCATCGAAGAAACATAGTAGGTAAAGAGAGCAATTACGTAAATTCTTTCCAACATAAACATAAATTGTTAAGAAGTATAATAATTACAATTAATATGCATATTAATAAATAACTATTACTTATTGGACGTTTTATTTTATGTATGCTGAGTGGCCATGACGGCAGTAGTGTTTGGATCGTCTGGAATTTAAAAGTAAAATTAAAGGCGATCACATCCGTAAAGCAGTTTTATTAAATAAATTAAATATCATCAAAACAAATGTGAAATAACTTTGAATGGGTTTTGATAGTCACCCATAATATTGTTATTGGTAAATGATTCTACATATTTTTGTGTAGGTGAACCGTGAGGTACGCTGAATGATAAAATTTTCAATTATTTTTTTTTATCAATAGATCTTTAAATTGTGTAACTGGAGTCTAATACAAACAATAATAGGGAACGAAGAACCAGAGTTGTTTTGTTGAGCTATGATGGTCATAACAGTAACGTGAACGCCTCGGTGCACTTAACCCAATAATATCGGCAATCTAGCCGCTGTTATCTGACGAAATAGCGGGGTCGCCTATCGAGACACTAATTGAGATAGTTCGCCTTAAAACGCTGGCCAGTCAGCAGACGTCTGCAAATTGGTCGTTTATGGTGAAAGTCTAGACCATCGTGGCTCTATATGGAAATGCTAAAGTTCACTTTGGCTCCCGACATTACCTTCGTGTTATGGTGTGCCCGCTCTACGGGACGCTGGCCGGTGTTCTAGTAGCACTCCTATTAAGGCAAATTCATTTGCTGCGATTTCCTAATAATTCACTCACACTCAAAATGTTATACTTTATTCAGCGAGCGTACCATCTGTCCAGTTTCCGTATAAAGGGCCAACACCGTGTGTTTAATGGTGAACACATGAACTTTGAAATTGTTTTCAATCAATTAAACATAAGTCGTCTTTCTCAAGTGTAATATTCAAACGCTGTTAATTGCCCTTAAACATTTTATAATACATTGTATATGATTTAAAATTTAAAAGTCGTAATAAATATTTTTAAAGTAGTAATTGATGATTTAATGTCACATTTTATAAAATAAATCAAGATAATAATAGTCGTCTAAAATGCTGCAGACAAATTTATCTGTTGCTGACCCTGAGATGGATTATTGCAAATAGCCGTCAAGGTAACACGATTATCGACAAAAGACTAAATAAAAGTTTAAGTAATTAATATGGGATTATCACGTATTTAAGTCCACCTACCGTATATAATTGACATTCAATTCGCAATACTGCAATTGACATTCAGCAATACTGACTATTTAAAATGATGTACGAGTGGTGTCCAAACAACTTGGGTTAGAAACACCGCTCTAAATTAGACGGCTAGCCTACTCCAAACTGCAGGATTGCCTTTTTTGAAATGCTAATCCCAACGTTGAGCATTCATTAATCATGCCACAGTTACGTTATTTATATAAAATAACTATCGAAATTGTCCATTCTTTAATTTCACTACTTAAAATTTGCGTTTCATTACATTTATCAAATGGAAATCAGATTATATAATTTAAGAATACAGATTATATAATAGCATTCATATAATTATGATTATTTTATAACATCATGTCACCTCTCCACAGAATGTGTCAATACACTGTCCAATCCAATGAAGCCATTTTTAGTAATCCTCGGATTTTTATATTTTGGTACTTCTCCTCACTTACACTAGCCCTCTTCCACTTATAGATACAACCTGATAAATATGGCTGGAAAGAAAATGTTACGAAAAAATTAGATAAGAAAAAAGTAAATATTGGCAGCTCACTTTAGTATATAAAGGTGCAACCAGGATCATTAATAATGTTATTGTTGGTCTGTCCCAAGACCATGGAAACACAAATGAAATCCTTCAAACAGATTGATTTGTAAATATTTTCTTTTATTTTTCAATAAGATGACTGAATTGAAGTAACTTCATATTGCTTTCACTACAATTCAATTTTGATATATTCTTATTTATGTGATGTTAAGTGATAATCGCCGCCCATTGACATTTGGAACACCAACGTAGATGCGTTACCTTGTAATTATTATAATGTTGGAAGCGGCTACCTCACCCACCAGGCGAACTTCCATTTCACGCCGATCTTCTGTGAGGCCGTGGAAATTCCCTGGAAGGACCTGACCATTTGTACAACAGCGAAGACTGTTTTGGGGCCTAAGCATTAATTTCTAAGATTACATTTTAAACGATGAAATTGAACTACTTCAGTTCACATTGAATTGACGAAGAATAACGTATCAAGTATCCACCACGAAATTCCTCAGGGTAATATTTTAATTGCGATGTACTGTATTCTGTCAAGAAACAGATTAGATAAGTATCTTCTCCGGAGGTCATTTCTGTGCACGTTTTACTGGAGCATTCATCTTGTACGAGTATTTCGGATTTTATTTGGTATCGTTTTATATCTGTAGTTTATTTTTACTGTATAATGTTTGTCGTAAAAAATTTCCTGTATTTTATTTTCTTTAGCTAATTTATTCATCGCTAAATTAGGCAACTTGGCATAGAATATTTGCGTAACTTTGATGTTAATAATCTAAATTTTCTTAAACGGTTACTATATTTATGGCAATAATTATGCGTGTTATGCTATTAATTACCTCCAGTAAAAAACTTCCAGGCAATTTATTCAGAGACATAAAAAAACTGATAATCATTTACATTACTGGATAAAAATAGCACGTATAAAAAGACGGCAAATAAAATACTAAAGTAGAAAGAGTAAATATTGTAGCAAAATTTCTGCGATACTATGAAATAAGCGAGTCGTGTTCCTAACGACTTAAGTTTAATGACGTAACAACATTATGTGTACAAAAGCGTCATAAAGAACTCTCGAGTTAATTTTTAAATGTTGCCCCCGCAAGCAGGAGGTCAAGCTGCACACTAAATAATAGTTCTTGTAAAAGTAATTGATTGGCTTAATTTGTTCTTTGTTTGATTAAGTATACTCCCTGAGGTTGTTTCGACAGTCCATGTGTTATACAGTCTTGCGGCCTTGACTCGTTTAGTATGCTGAATATTTACTCGTCAATTTTAACGATCTTGCAGATTTGAATATTTCGTAACGGGTATGCAATTTGTTGCTAAATACAATTTCACTAACTATTACCGGTACTGTATAATGTAGATGGAGATAGCTCCTTTTAGAAGGGTTTTAGAAGAAGAGATCACAGATAATTTTCCTGACTTTAACGAATCTTTTAATAGTGACAGTTAATATATCGACTTCACAGAAAATTTTTTTGTACTAATAAAACTAAAAACGAATTTTAGAGACATTTAACACTTCGTCTAACTAAAATATTTCTTACCTATAATTAACGCTGCTAGCATACCCTTTTAGATTTATTTTTTATTTAGAGCTAATTAAAAATCAAACTGTGCCAAGTGAGTGCAATAAAGAGAGTGATGCTTAAGTAGGAGCTTAACCCATGACGTTCAGGGAGTAACTCGTTTCGTTCGTTGAATGCGCCAGCACAATGTTAGTGAGTCAACCTTCAATCAAATTTAAAATATAAACTCAAAGAAAATGGTGTTAATCTTCTCTGCACTTCTAGATGTCTTAACTTTAATCGGCCCTGGTTCATTTTGAAAACTTCGGCTGTTGCTTTACTTCTGGATCATTTAATCTCATACATGTAGTTATAGACAGGGTGCATTTGAAGACTCAATTGCTCTAGTTGCCACGCGTTCAATACTATCCACTGGCTATATTTTTTCTGAGATAATGAGCTAGTAGTTTACCTGAGGTTGTTTGCGTGCCTATCTACATTCGCAAAATACGTGAGGTTGCAGATGCGTTAGCAACTTTCAACAAAGTAGGCCCTAGTTCCCTCATTAACCAAGCGCTGAAGTATAATACTTCCACTTGACGCCAGCCTTCTGTGAGGCCGTGATATTTTCCTGGACCAGCATAACCGCTCGTACAACAGCAATGCTGCGTGAACGTATCACAATTGTGTCTAAGTATTGAGTCAATACTTAGACACAATTGTGAACCGTCAATACTATTGACTGTCAATATACCTTCATAACTGCATTACTTTAGATACAAACCTACAGTTCACTAGGCGATTGACTTCGATGATAAAGATCTTGGGTTCGATTCCCATCTGGGATGAGAATAACCTACAGTTATTGTACAGGGATCTGGGTGTTTGTCCTTGCTTGATTTGCACTTGTGGCAAGCAGAATTATCTTATTTAACAGTGTGTGTGAAGCTGTAAGAAAAATGGTAAACAATATTATTTCTTCTCTTATGGCTCGCAAGCACACAGCCAAACGCTAATTTAAGGAAATTGAAATCTGAGACTCGATCAAAAGACTATTAATTTATTGACCCATTTTGTGCTTTCTCTTATTTTCCAGGATACCATTCCGAAAAGTTCAAATTAAAAAGTAGTAAAGTAGGTACACATGTGGGGTTTGATTATTTTTATTAAATAAAGAAAGATCAATTCTTTCTTCTTTCACCTTGCAACAGATAAAAAAATCCTACAGATACAATTAAACTTTAAAAAATATACTAATCGCTTTGAAAAGGATAGAATGATAAACGATTAATAAAAGCTTTAAAAATGTGTATTTCTGTCAAACATTTTTTGGCACTTTAATTTTAAACCAATGTAAATTTTCCTTACTGCTTGGGTTATTCGAATTGCGCTCCATGACGTCTCCTTAGAAAAATATTACCTTTAATACTGTAAAAGATCGCATATAATTTTAAACTATGTACGCGTATACATATAGGTAAAAATAAATACCTTCTTTTAATATTTGCAAAATTTTCTGAAGGTTATTTTGTGACGGAAACAGTGGCTTTGGTTCGGTATTCACTTGTTTATAGCCGTCGTTGCATTCTAAACAAATAAAAAATAAATTTTTATCGTAATTAAAATCCAATGTCACTCACTGTTAATCGACAAGAGTTAATCATTAACACTTACTGAGTCCATATTTCATACCTGTAATCAATAGGCAATTTGCACTGTATTTAATTGTCATAACGAAATGAATACAAAAAATGTATTTAAAAAGTTTATTTTTTACATCTGGTTATCTATTAACTATTAGGTCCTTACATAAAATTGTCGTTTGTTGAACTGGCCAATTTGATCTAAAAATATCTGTTTTTTGTCAATAATAAAATCACGACACTATAACTGAAATATGAGAATAGCTTTTATATTCTGTAAAATATATGAACTTACCTATTTCCATATATAGCTGTGATGGCTCATTGTCCGGGCGTTCGCTTTTAATTCAATATCTGCATATATATCACTCCAGCAATCTGAGTTCGTTCCCCGGTGTCGACACCAATGAAATTGTTAATTTTAAGTTCTGACTTATCATGCGCTCAGCGATGAAGGAAAACATCGTGAAGGAACCTTTATATTTTCGAAATAATAAAAAAATACAATATTTCGAAGATATGTGAAGTCCGCCAATCCGAGTGCAGTCGCGTGGTCGACTATGCTCTAATAATCTTTGTACAGAGGAGGCCCTCTTTCCTCTGGAGGTCTCTGCCTAGCAGTGGGACGTATATATAGCTGTTACTTTTCTTTTACTTTACCTACTGTTATATATGTTCTAAGCGCGTTTTACGTGTATTTTCGGGTTTAAGGGAGAATGTATGTACGTACCCAATGCTATCCAAAAATCTCTTGTTTTAAGAGGCTTATTTTCGAAGCTGCCCGTCTTCACTGACAACAATCGTAAGCAAAATATAAAATTAACATATTTTCCTCTTATTTTTAATACGGCTTATTTTAATTAATTAAAATTTTGATTATCAACGGCTTTCTAAGTTTTAGATACCTTCATTTTCAAACTCCCCCATGATGCTTTTTAACTCTTTCATTGATATGAACTTCTCTTCCGGATCTGCAATTGTTTATTAAGTCTTGAATCGCAGTTAAAATTAAATTGTTTAATTATTTTAATTTATTGGACTATTAAGTAGATGCAGTGACGACCTGTGCAACTGTGCGAGAAGTCTATAGTGCAGGTGGCTCAGGATCGTGCTTCGTGGCAGGCTTTGGGGGAGGCCTATATTCAGCAATGGGCTCAAACAGGCTGAAATGATGATGATGATGAATGGCCACAAACAGTGCACACTCAATGTAGAAGACGCGTCTTCGAAAAAATGATACAAGAATTACTAACATTTTAAGTGTTATTTTCCAGATTAAGTTACTAAACAGTGAGATAAATCGTAGCTGAAAGTTGAAAAAATTATGGGATATATATAAAAAAATAATTGTGTTTCATTAGATTAAACTTACCTTGATATGTAGTAGTGCTTGAAGGTGCTGGAGTTGTTGGTAGGGTGCTTTCTGAAGTTGACTTTATTGTAGAAGTCAAAACGATGTCTAAATTTATAAATTTCTGATAAAGTATCGACAATAACAACAATCGAAAACAAAATAGTCACGTGAAATGTTTTTAATTTGGGTTGTGTTCGGACAAAAATTAGAAATCTTTACTAATATATTATTAAATTAAAACTCATTTAAGTACATACCAGGAATATCGTTTGACCGTGCTGTAAACAAAATATTGTGGCTAAAATAAAAATAAATTAATGTGAAATGGCATAATGTAAGTTTCTTAATGTTACTAACGAGTCAGATGCTAGTTTATAGTAGTAGATAGAGTAGATATCCGTTTATTATTTATAGGTTCAGTTAAAAATTAAAACTAAAACGTGAGTTTATTCTCTATTTTCAGTAGGCGTTGTTTTACACGCGTTCAACATTAGTTTTTCATTAAAAATCTACAGTTCAGCATTAGTTTTTCATTAAACATCACTTTTTATGCGCGAACAACAATTTTTTGCACGATAGTATTTTATCGACATACACATAATGTCCAAATCGAAAGTCTACCCGTAGCACATACCTGAAATCTTTCACAGATTATAAAGAGATTGATTAGCTTGACTTACTGCCTTAAACCAACAAATAATACTGATAGTCTGTCCAGTGTGTTGATTCAATAAATATTACTTAAATTTTCCGCGATTTAACATACTGGTGGTGACGGTAAGAAGCTGCGCCAATTTTTACATGTGGTAAATGATACCAAACTACCAGAATATTAAGGTGTTAAATGGTAGCTCCAATTATCAGCAACACCAACCAAGGGTAGGGTGTCAGTACTCTTTTAAATCAGGACAATAGGTCATTTAAAACCTATAATTATTCACTCAGTTTAACCACTAAATTGAGGTCGTCAACTAAATTAAAACCTGAAGCCAACAGAATGAGTGTACTTTTTTCACGAAAAATAAAGGAGATATATTATACTTGCTTGCACTAACTTATGTTCAAAACAATTACCATGCGTATTTAGGCAATTCATATTAAGACGGTATTACATTTATTTTATTACCGATTAAATATGCCGGCTTTTGTATTCGAAAGTAGGTCTTTGTAGAAGGTTTCTTTTTAGGTGCCGAAATAAGTTGCGCCTTGTTGCCATCAATATCCAATCGAAGCTCTATTGCACGGTTTGGGAAGTAATCTAAAAAAAATCATACTATTTTATCGCTCAGTTGGCCTATTATTTATGTGAGATCCTTTCCAGCACCTGGCAAGCGAGTAGGTGGTCCACCTGTAGTTACAGATGTCTTGCCAACCTTTAAAAATATGGACCCCAATTACGTCGCTGACTCGACATAATGCAAAAGTAAAAATATCTCCACTTTAGGGCGGTCTCCTGTGAGGGCAAGGGTCGTCCCCAGATATAGAGAGTCCAGAGTATGCCCATTAGTACACCAGAGGAATCAGCTTCACCTCTTCAAACATTAAATACTAGAAAGCTCAGCAGAAAGTTTTTCGGCCCGAAAAGGATTTCACCAATAATAAGGTGGTACCTTACGAACCTATATATATAATTTTTATGTAAAATTTGACGATTCATAAGAACGCACAAGCGTCTATTTGAATAAAGATTATGATGGAGCTTCAACTGAGCAAGTTACCATCAACGCCAATGCACTATATATAACACTCTATTGCTTAAAATACGAAAAAACAATGTAGATAAAATCCGTTGAGATTTTCGATTCAATGCCGGCAGATTTTCGACGGTGTGGTAATCAGCAGTTTATCTTAGTGGGTAATAAAAACTTAATTTGAAAATTACAAATTGCAAATAGCAATGGCGTCATCTCCGGTTCGAATTACCGTTATAATTCGATATTTGAAATTGTTGGTGTGCTCTAAAGGACACAACAATAGATGCGCCAAGCTCATTGCTCAAAATGCGAAAAAACATTGTAGATAAAATACGATGACATTTTCGTCGGTGTGGCAATAACCCGTTTAGCTTAGTGGTTTAAACTTATAGGAGCTAATCGGGAAGACTTGAATTCAATTCCTACAGCGGCGAAATACTTTTCACCCATTTTTCTATAAATTTTAATTTTTAATCTTAAGTGCAATTAAAACTATAAAAACTTAAAATAAAAATTTATAACTTCATTACTATTCAGCATAAGTTATTATCGTAATCAGAGTCACTTAATAATAAACTATCCAAATATTTTTAAACTTATATAATTTCTGAAAAATAATATTGCGTATTTACCCGATATTTTCCTCATTGGTTTCAAATATTTTTGTAGAAAATTTTCAAATTTTTTTCCAGAATAATTTGTATTGCCTGTATATAAAACACATAATCATGATCACATTGTCATACAAATTGATTTTCACTTCTACTACTTGTATTTTAAAACATACTTTTCACATAATCCATCGTCATACAAAAGCATATTACAAAAAACAAAGAATGTATTATTGAGCAATCCATTAAAACTCCTTTACGGTAACTAAGCTCCTTAACACTAAATTTGTTTATTTAAAAAACAAAGAATGTAAAGCATTTGCAATTGTCAGCATTTTGCGCGCTACAAACAAAACGATAACATTGATTCACATCATAAAATGGCATAACTACTGTGGTCATATATTTCAAATATTTTACTGTAAGATTGATTTTCCGAATATGTAACGAAAAAGCAATTTCATATTTATGACATTTGTGTTCACGGAATTTCGTTTTATTTCATTTGGAACGTAGACTTGGAAAAAATACAATACAAAGCTCAACGTCTTTAATCGTTTAGGTTTATTATTATGACCATGCTCACTATCTACATTTGATGAGTTTAGTGGGTTACAGTATCTGTGTCATTAATTTAAAAGCCTCATTTAAATAACTGAAATTGGTCAAATCATTCTAATAATTCGTGAGAACGCAACATTCTGTTTAGCTGTTATGTAATGAATACGTCTTATATTATTAGTTCTAATTTTTAAACAAGTCTTCATTGAAATCAGTAAGCATAAAATAAAATTTTTGTCTAGCAAAAATAGAATGTGTCGGTTTAAAAGTATATAAGTATCCTTATAAATACCAATGTTCGGTAGTGTAAGCGCGACTAAAAATTAATTAATAATTAAAGGGTAATTAGAATTATTAGCGCTATAAATTCGTCCATTACGGTTTCGAAATAAATGAATTAAGTCAAAATGAAGCCGGTTTTAAGCAATCTCACTCTAACAAGTCTCAAACGGTTCAAGTAGTTACGCTTGCTGGTAATAAAACACAAATCACTTCATTAAAGAGCACCATATCACAATACTATTCAAGCCTTCTGTTAATGATCAGTTTTGAGATTAAAATACTCTAGTGTATGAAATTCAAGTCGAGCTACCATTATTTCGTAACGAACCATTAACAATTCTTCGGATAGAATCTTTCATTTATTGGAGCACTTATAGAAGGATTTTCTAATTCATGTTAGAGTTTGTCTTTCAGGCACAATACTTATCAACTTTAATTTATGACTTAACCACTTTTTTCCGGCCTAATCGTTTGAAATAATTATTAATGTACAGAATATACGATAAATCAAATAGTCTGAAGTACCTTGATGAACCAGTTCAGTCAATTCTGGCGGATAAGATTCGAAAAGAAAAAAGGCATAAAACTCATATAACTGATTTCGTGTCCTGAATATGTCAACTGAAGTGGCAATGGGCTGGTCACGTTTCCCGCAGAAACTACAAATGTTGGAATAGATGTGTTTTTAATAGCGACCGCGTTAAGACGCTTTCTGATCAGAATTAGCAACTATTGCTGTGTTACTTCACTGCATGTTGGTGCTAATAACGATCCTGATGAATATATTATATATATGTTAGCATTGCTTGAGGAGCTTTTCAAATGGAATACCACAAATATGTTACTAAAATTTACATCAACTCATAGTCATAATGGTATTAGGAAAAACTTTGTAAACAAGAAAATATCATGCACTTCGGCCACATGTAAGTACAGTAGAATATAACTGTAAACTTTAAATACAATATAAGAGTCACTTTAAATATAGCAATATTATAAATGTATATACAGAAACTGAAGCTTAAGTATTTGATAGTAAAGCCAAGATGAAGAATTCGATTTAAGATATTCACGGGGACTCCTGACCTCAGCTGGAGAGATGATGGCGCTGATGTCGCCTTGATTATCAGACCGTTGTAGATCGCTTACAGTTTAATGTAAATCGATGCCCTTTTAATGTCTTAGATAACGCCACATAAGATCACATTTTAAACCCTATTCAGCGGGGCTTATGGATTACTACTTACAGCACTATAAAGCTACCAATAGTGGTCAAAATATACCTACGTATATTTTACAATGTTTTATATTATTTACTGTGTTCGCTCGCTAAAAGTCTGGCTTTAGGAAATGTTTACAGCACGGTTGTTTGTTATACTAAAATATCTTTTTGGTATTCTGTAAGCAGGAATTCTTTGCATTGAAATATTACTTGAATTTCAGCCTAAGAAGAAATAATGTTTTATTTTTGTAATAATTAAAAACCACAATTAAAGTTTTTAAAAAAATTTGCTCAAGTTTTGAATATAATAAAATATGCACCAGGAAAACATTTTTATTTATTCCTTTTCTTTTGTTAATTCGACTTAAAATATGACAAGATAATCGTTAGGGAGCATCGAATCAATTGTTAACATATGCCTTTCATATCCATCCATTACATTAAAGTCAAACTTAATACAAGTTAAAAATGGAGATATTTAATAATCTTACTGAACCTACACCCACTTAAACATTTCCTTTATAAAGAAGGAGTGACCTAAACCTGAACCCTCATCTTCATCATCCAGAATTCTAAGCTGCAAACGCTTTTATTCCAATTACGACAGTACTCATCAACGCGTTAAAATCGCCTGCATCAAATGCTGGGTCGTGTATGCTACGTAATATTAAATTTAATAAGGGAATCGATAAACTTTATTGCGGAACAGAAATTATTGTTCTCGTGGATCGCGATAGTTGCTCTTACTTCAGAACGTACCTAATATCGTTCTTATCGTGGCGCATACTTGCGACAATCGTGAGAGTGCCAGTTTCATGTGGGACGTATCGCAACGTATTCAGAGCTAATTTGGATTAATTCGGAGCGGAGGGAACAGCGGGGCCACTGGAGCTGGCTTCTAGCAGTCCCTCCACGAACCTGCTACAGCGTTGTCAAACCCTCTATTTTCTTAGACAATCTATAGTAATTCCTTGCCTTCATTGATTCTGTTTTCGAATTTGAATGTGTCGGATAGAATTTCTCTTACTCGAGTAAAGATACCCATTAAAAGCACTCACGATTAATTATGCCTCATAGGTTTAGTGTCCTAGCTTGTTTATGAAATAGTTGTTAAATTATAAAGCATTTCAAACTGTTTCCGGATCTGTAGATGATTTTTTTTGTGAATTATGGTTTCATGTGATGATAATGATATCCAAATGATATCCTTTTCTTTACATTATCTTTTCTGTTATTGATCTCACTGAATTACTTAATTAACAGTGAACCTTTGAAACAGAAAATGATTCTGGTGATTTTGGTAATTAGATTCTTTTACCAGTAAATACTTTAACACTAAAAATTACCTAAAATATCAGACATTAAAGAACATAAAAATATTTTTTAAAGCTGCTCCTTAAAAGGTTGTACACGAATAACGCAAAGCATCGTTTCCATAATTGGCATAGCCTCGCGCCTCCGAATTTGTGTTTCACGTGCAAAACTTGTTTTCATAATAGAACATGCTTTTTACTTATTATTCGCTCTTTTATAGTCTATCTCCAACATCCTCAGTGAAATGTGAAATAAATTGGAAACACATACGACATAAACAACCACTATAACAAGTGTTTGGACCATTATTTGATTAGCATGACTACGAGTATAACCATATAAATACGTATTTACATGTGGTAATTTGTGGTTTATACTAATGATTTTTTGTAGACATTGTAGCTGTTCAGATTTGAAAACCAAAATCCCCATTATTTAACCTTTCGTGACACATGTGGCCTGGCAACACTAGTCCTGAACTACCCATTGAAACTTTTTGCATCTCCCTTCTGGCTGAGCAATCGCTGTGAACTAATTTAAAGAGATTTCTATGCAAATTTAATTACCACCAGTTACTGCACGTACGGGACCACTAACGAAGTACGCTATTAATGTTAAAGTTAGCCGATAGTCACAGTTTACGATGCAAAAGTCAACATTACTTGGTAATTCTTCTTAAGTTCTGTAACTTATCTTTTCGCTATTTGTGATATAGACGTCTAAGCAATATTTTACATAAAACATTTGTTGTTTATCAGTTAATTGCAAACTTATTTAAATGTATCGTTAAGGTTTTGATTTTTTTTTTATTTGTAAACTTAGTTTAAACATCAAACATATTTAAAATATGACTCCATGATGCAGTTGCCAAGGTATTGGCTTCGGCGTCGGGGGTTGTGGGTTAGATTCCCACACGGGACAACTATTTGTGTGACCCACAGATACATCTGGGTGTTTTTCCGCGTGAAATTTATGTTTGTAAAACGTCCCTACAACACAGGATAATGTTATCCTAAAGTAAGGGCAATGTTTAAAAAAAATATATGTATAGAATTTTTTATTTTGTAATGAAGATCAGTCCAGATCCAATTAGAGAATCTTCTGAACGTATAACGAGAAAATATTATGATGTGTCCTGTGCAATTGACGTTATCCATAAGGGAGTGAGCAAAACGCTGGTGATTTCAGGCAGCTTTAAATAGTTATCATAATAATGATTAATAAGTAAAATCAGTTACTATTTGTCAGTCAGTTACATTTTCTGTTAATAAAAAGGAAGCTGACACTGCCATCTTTATTTAAATGCGCTAGTTTCACTTTTATCAGAATTAATGTCAACAAAGTCATCTTACCGCATTTACCTACGCAAATGGGAAACGCGACCGGTGATCTCGGTGCTTAATAATATGTATCTAAACCGTACTGCGCTGTTTTTATGAGAAAATTATACTTGAACACTAAATATTCTAGGTAAAGCCGCTGCCCGTCAGCACGTGTTCTGAGGCATGAGATAACACGTAGAAGTAAAGACGTAAACACATCTTTAATATCCATTTGGGCCTCGAGAATATTCAAAGCGACCTGCGCTAGCCGTTTAGCCTTTTATACGAAAACCAAATTGGACCGTCGAAGCCGACGGCATGGTATTAAGTAGGCAATAGACTCTCCGTTTTGGTGCCAACGGTGCATAGCAATCGACACCATGTAAGTCTAGCCAGTGGCTACACTCGCCCCATTAGACACTACTTCCTTAACAAAAGAGGCTCGGAGTCTCCCATTCTAACAATTCTATGAGCTATTTACCTTATCTGTA